AGTAAGAACAAGATGGATCAGTGCATTTCTATTCATTATTAATGAACCATCTGTCATCCAAGGATCTTAGATTTACTAGTTCTGTCTGTTTCATTTCTCACTTTTAGTCTGTTTATTAGATGAAGCAAAATGTAAAAATGTTAATTTTTTTAGTATGTAAAAGCATCAGATTATGTTTAAACAAAAAAATGATTAAAAAAAATATATAAGTCTCTAACTTTCTGGTCTTGTTACCTCACCTTAAAGAATATAAGAATCTAGCTCTTATTATAAATTAGCTCTTTGGAACAAATATTTTTTTTTAAGAAGAAAGGAAAAAGTCATCAAACAAATGAGCAGCTTTAGATTTTGTTCCCCCTCAGGCAATTTTACTTTGAAAGAGCAAATTATTTTATTATCATCTAATAAAAATATCATAAAAAAAGGGAGTTCATATATGTACCTATATGGTTAAATATGGTTAAATTTCATCAGTTTTTTTTAGAATAAATCTAAGACATTTTTTTTCAACCATTGCAGTAATAAAGCTGTAATAACAGCTTGAGAGGCCCTGTTAAAAAAAACAAAATCAAATAAAATACAGCAGAAACTTCTATATATACTGTATTTCTATAACTTTCTTGGGGGTTTTGCTACTTTATAAGCAACTATTCACAGCGAAAATAAAATTTAATTCCAGGAATGAGACTTGAGGCTGAACATTTAAAAAGACCCAGTAAGAGAGAAGCTGAGTGGCTAAATGCCAGCATGTGGCCGGCCATTACTGTACCTGCAGGAAACTCTGGATGCATGAATCACATACATTAGAGCTGTGAAGGTTTCATATGCTAATGGAGTCACGATACAGAGGTAAGTGAACAAAGAAAGAAAAAGTGGCTGAGAGTTACAGGTTACAAGCTGCTACTTTTGAAATGATAGCAGGAGTATAGAAGAGAAACCTGATTTAGGAGCCTCTATGCAATCCTGTCAAAATGGATCCGACTCCTGAAGATATTAACAATCTATGGGGGGAAAAAAGCCTTGCTAAAATGAAACCTATATTCAAGAAAACTACCTTTCATTTAGTTGTCTTATTTATAGACAGAGCAAATAATTTGCACAGAAGGGAAAAAAAAAAAGTCTGAAAAACTTCACCTAAAGTTATGAGGCTCTATTTTTGAAGTAGAGAACATTTCCGTTCTGGAGGAAAATTTTAGAGCAAAAATCAAATGAACTAACTAACATTATTTGGGCTTGGGACTGAAAATCAACTTTAAAGTTACTGAACATTAAGGCTGGGTGATGATTGAAAAAAAGTGATTAATCAGATCCGAAAAAAACAAAACAGATTAGAGTTTGTTGATATAAACACTGCATGAAAAGTGGGATTTTCGTCAATATGCGGCACTGTAGATTGTCGTGGAACTTCAGGTTACCGGC